AACCTAACCTAATCTAATCTTACTTAACCTAATCTAATCTTGTAACCTAACTAACCTAACCTAACCTAACCTAACCGAGGATTACGACAAAAACTCAATGTAGTGAATTTTGTCAGTTGTTCTTATTCTAGCGGTGGAATTTCGTCCACTTGGCTACCACACTCACGTCTCCACCAAGGTCAAATTAGGTCGACCCCCCACGACCTGACCACCTGACCACCTCCACCTGACTCCCGCTCCGCCTCTTCTTACCTTATTTAGGATATTAACTTATTTGTTTAAACGTGGCAACAATTTCCCTTCGACCTCGACTGTACCACAAACAGGAAATAACAGCCTGTTGTCTTACCTGTCATTTTGTAAGCTTAGAAGTAAAAATATAGGATTACATGAAGATTAGAACCCAGGATACCTCACCCTAACGCTACCTGGGAGCTAGGTTAAGTTTGGTTATGTTACAGTAGGTTTAGTTAGGTTAAATTCGGGTAGGTTAAGTGACCAGCTTGACCCGTTCCACCTATCACCTCCCCAACCTGCCCCGTTTCACCAATTCCTCACCTCCCCAACCTGCCCCGTTTCACCAATTCCTCACCTCCCCAACCTGCCCTGTTTCACCTATCCCTCACCTCCTGACCCGTCCACCCATTCTCACCTCCTGACCGTTCCACCCATTCCTCACCTCCTGACGTTCCACCCATTCTCACCTCCTGACCCGTTCCACCCATTCTCACCTCCTGACCCGTTCCACCCATTCCTCACCTCCTGACCCGTTCCACCCATTCTCACCTCCTGACCCGTTCCACCCATTCCTCACCTCCTGACCTGTTCCACCCATTCTCACCTCCTGACCCGTTCCACCCATTCCTCACCTCCTGACCCGTTCCACCCATTCTCACCTCCTGACCGTTCACCCATTCCTCCTCCACCTCCCCAACATAGAACTAAATTGCCCCAGATAGCCTTAATAAGTAATACCAGATCAGAGTAGTAATGCCTATGTATTTTTCACCAGAGGTCCGGATTACTGACAGCCGGATGATTAAATGCTGTGGGAGGAACCACCACCACCACCAGCGTCACCACCACCAGCACCACCAGCATCACCACCACCAGCAGCGTCACCACCAGCAGCTCCCGCACTCACCAGCACATCACCACCACCAGCAGCGTCACCACCACCAGCAGCGTCACCACCACCAGCAGCGTCACCACCACCAGCAGCGTCACCACCACCAGCAGCGTCACCACCACCAGCAGCGTCACCACCACCAGCAGCGTCACCACCACCAGCAGCGTCACCACCACCAGCAGCGTCACCACCACCAGCAGCGTCACACCACCAGCAAGGGGTATCCCAGGAGGTGCTGGGCCGGGTGGACGACCTAACTTGGTAAATAAATGTTTGATGTGTCTTATGAGTCGTATTAAATGTCTCGTTATTCTTTGTGTCTCGTTATGTGTCTTTTGTGTCTCGTTATGTCTCTTTGTATCTCGTTATGTGTCATTTGTGTCTGTTGTGTGTCTTTGTGTCTCGTTATGTGTCTTTTGTGTCTCGTTGTGTCTTTGTGTCTCGTTATGTGTCTTCTGTGTCTCGTTATGTGTCTTTTATATCTCGTTATGTGTCTTTTGTGTCTCGTTATGTGTCTTTTGTGTCTCGTTATGTGTCTTTTTGTGTCTCGTTATGTGTCTTTTGTGTCTCGTTATATCTTTGTGTCTTTATGTTTTGTGTCTCGTTATGTGTCTTTTGTGTCTCGTTATGTGTCTTTTGTGTCTCGTTATGTGTCTTCTGTGTCTCGTTATGTTTTTGTTTTTTGTTATGTGTCTTTTGTGTCTCGTTATGTGTCTTTTGTGTCTCGTTATTTTTTGTGTCTCGTTTGTTTGTCTGTTATGTGTCTTTTGTGTCTCGTTATGTGTCTTCTGTGTCTCGTTATGTGTCTTTTGTGTCTCGTTATATCTTTTGTGTCTCGTTATGTGTCTTCTGTGTCTCGTTATGTGTCTTTTGTGTCTCGTTATGTGTCTTGTGTCTCGTTATGTGTCTTTTGTGTCTCGTTATGTGTCTTTTGTGTCTCGTTATATCTTTTGTGTCTCGTTATGTGTCTTCTGTGTCTCGTTATGTGTCTTTTGTGTCTCGTTAGTGTCTTCTGTGTCTCGTTATGTGTCTTTTGTGTCTCGTTATATCTTTTGTGTCTCGTTTGTCTTTGTGTCTCGTTATGTGTTTTTTCGTTATGTCTCTTTTGTGTCTCGTTATGTGTCTTTGATGTATCTCGTTATGTGTCTCATTATGGGTCGTTTACTGGAACGACTGGTGGCTGCCATGACGAGAACGACCCCAGCCTACACAACAAACTTGAGTAATATTTCTTGCCATTGTTTGACTGCGATGATGATGATACGACGACGACCATGATGACGATAATGACGACCACGACGACGATAATGACGACCACGACGACGATAATGACGACCACGACGACGATAATGACACTATATTCTACTCATCTACTCTATTCTACTCTACTCAACTCCTCTATTCTACTCTACTCAACTCCTCTACTCTACTCAACTCCTCTACTCTACTCAACTTCTCTACTCTACTCCACTCCTCTACTCTACTCTACTCTACTCTACTCTACTCTACTCAACTCCTCTACTTCACTCCTACTCTACTCTACTCTACTCTACTCACCTCTACTCTACTCCCATAAGACGCTAACAATAACTTACGTATCTCAGTGGCTGTCAAGACCCTGATTGAAGATGGAACTTTATATAGTGAAGCCTCCATATAGCGGATTTCTCCATATAATCCGTTAGTTGGAGGGGGTGTTCACATCTAATGGAACCCTCGATATAACGGACTTTCATATGTATAATAGTTCGTTAGATGGAGGTTTCACATCTAACGGAACCCTCGATATAACGGACTTTCCTCTCTTATATATTCCGTTAAATAGAAGTTTCACTGTAAATTTTAATGCATACACGAACTTTGAGTGTCACCTGTGTTAATGAGTTTAATTAAGGGTTAGCTTAGGTTAGGTTAGGTTAGGTTAGGTTAGGTTTAGGTTAGGTTTAGGTTAGGTTAGGTTTAGGTTAGGTTAGGTTAGGTTAGAGGTTTTAGGGTTAGGTTAGGTTTGTGTTTAGGTTTAGGTTTAGGTTAGGTTAGGGGCTAGGTTAGGTTAGGTTAGGGTTAGGGTTAGGTTTAGTTAGGTTTAGGTTAGGTTAGGTTAGGTTTGTGTAGGTTTGTGTTAGGTTGGTTAGGTTAGGTTAGGTTAGGTTGGTGTTTAGGGCTAGGCTAGGTTTAAGGTTAGGTATTAGGTTGAAGTAGGTTTAAGAGGTTAGGTTAGGTTAGGCTAGGGGTTTAGGTTTAGGTTAGGCTTAGGTTAGTTGTGTTAGGTTAGGTTTAGTGTTAGGTTTAGGTTTGAAAGAGGTTGTGTTAGGTTAGGTTAGGTTGTGTTAGGTTGTGTTAGGGCTTAGGTTTAGGTTTTAGGTAGGTTTAGGTTAGGTATTACATAGTCCAGAGTTCTTGTAATCTTTCCTTGTATAGAGAGAAACAATAACAAACTCTCTAACTACTGACAGCTTCAACAATAAACAAATATGGTCGCGTAAAAATATTGTTCCGTGTTGTTGTGTTCTGAACTGCCACAGGAGTACAAGTTCTGTGAGGTATTGTGAGGTGAGGTGAGAAGGGTGAGGTGAGGAGGTGTGAGGTTGGGTGAGGTGAGGTGTGAGGACGAGGGGTGAGGTGAGGTGAGGTGTGAGGTTTAGATGAGGGTGAGAAGTTGAGGGTGTGAGGTGTGAGGTTGGGTGAGGGGTGAGGTGAGGTGAAGGTGAGGGGTGAGGTGAGGTGTGGGGTTGGGTGAGGTTGGGTGAGGGTGAGAAGGTGTGAGGTGAGGTGAGGTGAGGATGTGAGGGGTTGGGTGGTGAGAAGGTGTGAGGTGGTGTTGGAGGCAGGTGTGAGGTGAGGTGTGAGTGGTTGGGTGGTGGTGAGAGGTGAGGTGGTGTGGGGTTGGGTGAGGTGTGAGACGGTGAGGTGAGGTGAGGGTGAGGAAGGTGGGGGGTGTGAGAAGGTGAGAGGTGTGAGGGTTGGTGAGGTGAGAAGGTGTGGGAGGTGAGGTGTTGGGCGAGTGTGAGGGGTGGGGAGGTGTGAGAATGTGTGAGAGGTTGGTGAGGTGTGAGGGAAGTAAGAGGTTGGTGAGGTGTGAGGGCGAGTCACTGGAACAAAATATCAATAGCCTAGTGAAGTGAATAAAAAAGAATCAGCCAGTGTACAAATTAGTTTTGGGAGGAGCAGAGAGATAAATGGAGCAGAGGTTGAAGGTAATGGGAGATGTGGCGAAAGAAAGGAGATGAAACGATAAGGGAGACTCAGAATATCTATAGACTTCCTGGGTGACAAACTTCAAGGCAACAGCGTCAATGTGAAAATAAAAATGCTATACTACCTTATAGCCTAAAGTTTCCACATCCAAGTTAGTCAACAAATATACATGTTGGTCGCCTCCACTTGCATGTAAACGACAGGTGAGTGCCATGTCTGTAAATAAATTTGTCCTGGTGCCATTGACACTTTTCATTTCGTCCCACGTAATGATGATGATGATCCGGGAAAATGTTGTCGTCCATGCAGCAATCAGCACCTACACACCGCCCTGCCTCCCTACAGTATAAACAAACTAGAGCTGCGTTTGTCAGGTAAATATGATCCAACTCGTGCAGCAAACTATTACACATCTTGGCTCTCTTAGTAAGTAATCCAGCCTGTGATGTATCAATGTTCTACACTGGATAAATATGTACTTTTTTTTTTTAACTCTGCTGATAAATGTTGACGTCACGGAAGATCTAAAACACCTCTATTAATCACTTCCTGGGGTCAAGTTAGACGAATGACGTACAATGAAAAATAAAATAAATAAAAACGTATGACAAATCAGACAAATGACGCACAATTAAACACTAACGTATTTTTATGGAGAATAAAAACAATAACTTACATTGCGGTGGTTAACAGTTTTGGTGGTGGGTGAAGGCGATGTGTGTTTCTGTGACTGACCATTGGTGGTGGGCGTGGTCTTCTCCATGTTGTTACAGATGTGCGGGGTCTTGTTGTCCCCGTCGCCGACGCCCTCCTCGAACTTGACGGAGCGCCCTCCATTACTCAGCCGCTCCTTGGCTTGTCGCCTCAGTCGAGACAACATGGTGGGCGTCGCGAGTGGGCGGCGGAGAGTCAGACGTGGCAAAGGTGTTGTGGCTGGGCATCTAGGGGTGAACAGTAACTTATCGGTGTCACCTTCCCCCTGTGTCCTCCTTCGGTCTCTTAACTGTCTCGTTAACACACCAGCCTGATTAATGGCGAATTAATTATGTACCCGTCCCACAATTCACCAATATCAGACGCACACCTGGACCACCAACTCGTGTGGGTGGTGGTGCTGTGGGCCCACCTGGGAGCGGTCACCTGTATGGCCTTTATCACTACAGTTTTACAGCTTAAAGACAACAATTACAGGACGCCCCTCACACACACACAGCATAACTTCACGTGAACCTGCTGTTAATCATAAATGTAGTGTGTTAATATGATACAACTGATGATAAACTTTTGTAATGTTTAAATGTATTTCATAATCCTGAACTATTACAGTGCTAGTATCAGCAAACACACGAGGCATGTAAATAAAACCACTGTTTCCAGGTGTCACTATAGGCTGCCTGGCACACTATAGGCTGCCTGGCACACTATACTCACCTGGCTTACAACATAATTACTACCTACATTATTTAAGGTCAATTATAATTACAATTATTTCGTTCACAATACTCTCAAATTACTTACAATTTCAATTTCATAAAATGTTATAATTAATTACATATGATAATTATAAACTTTACGTATGATCCAAGAGCATATTTGGGTTTGAATTAATAAGTAAGCATTCTATGGTACATCACACCATCACTCACTCGCTCAGATACTCACACTCACTCACTCGCTCAGATACTCACACTCACTCACTCGCTCAGATACTCACACTCACTCACTCACTCACTCGCTCAGATACTCACTCACTCCAATACTCACCTCTCACTCACTCACTCTCTCAGATACTCACTCACTCAGATATTCACACTCCTCACTCCTCCACTCATACTCATTTCACTCACTCCTCTGAGTAATGAACGTGACAGACTCGAACGTGTGTCAAGTGTATATGGACGCTTTATTCACACCTATTGTACTTCTGTCAGTAATTCAGTAATCCTTCATAATGCCTCAATTTCATGAAGTAATTGCAACTGAATTAAACTTGAACAGCAAATTAAAGTTATAATTACAAATACTTTTTTAATTTTAATGTTCAATTACTCATTGACCCAAACTTGAAATGACTCACACCAGTGTTAGTCAGCGTTAACTTTATATCTTGAACCAAGAAAGATACATCCGGCCCAAGCTATATAGTTTTGTTTATTTTAACCATCAAATATATTCGGTCTGTTTTTTTAACTTAAAATAAATCAGGCGAACACGTGGTCACAATAGCCGCTTGTTAGTGGAGGTGCACAACCAATTCATAACTACTCATCACCACCACCTCTTCCTTGCAATCATCACCACCACAACCACCACACAACCACCCATCACCTCCCACCTTCCTCAACAATAAAATCGAAACTTTAAAAGCCCACCGTCACTTCCCCCTCCAGCTCTCCCCAGTGTTTCGGGGTTCAGTGTGGCCTCTTCTTCAGGCTTATCGCGTCATTACCTGAGGCTTCGTTCTGTTGTGTTAAGGGTTTTCTCTTGCCACCCACACCTGTGTTACTAGCTCCTTCAGGTGGGTCAGGAGTTTGATGTGTATCAGGACGAGACATTTGGCCCTGTACGGTTATCATATCCTTCTAGGAACAGGGGCAGCTGGTTTTGGAGGGATGGGGAGGATGGGGATGGGAGGGATAGGGATGGGAGGATGGGGAGGATGGGAAGGATGGGAGGGCCTTCTTGGTTACTTATATTTGTACATCAACCCTCAGAAAACATCACACTGGAGCTATCTCACCCCTGCTCTCGTCTTGGCATTTGTTTACATTTAATAACTCACATTCACCCTATATATTCTTCTTGCCTCATCATATTTGTTCTCAAGTTACAACATCTGTAGTAAGATTTATGGGTCTTATAAATGTTCTCACTAAGGGCAGAGCAGTGCAGGGGGCAGGGTATGTGGGGAGTAGGGCAAGGGGTTAGGGAATCAAGGCAGGGGTAGGGCAGGTGGGGCAGGGTTGGGGCAGGGTTAGGGGGTTAGAACAGGGTTAGGGGCAGGGGTTAGGGCAGGGTTAGGGCAGGGTGGGGCAGGGGTTAGGGGCAGGGGTTGAGACAGGTTAGGGCAGGGGGTTAGGCAGGGGTTAGGGCAGGGGGGTTAGGGCAGGGGGTTAGGACAAGGGATGGGACAGGGGTTAGGGCGGGGGTTAGGACAGGGGTTGGGAGCAAGGTTAGAGCGGGGGTTAGGGCAAGGGTTAGAGACGGGGTTAGACAGGGTTAGGGCAGGTTAGGGCAAGGGGGTTAGGACAAGGGAGGTGGGGGTGGGCAGGGGTTAGGATTGGGGGTTAGGCAGGGGTAGGGGCAGGGGTTAGGGCAGGGTTGGGGCAGGGGGTTGGGGCAGGGTTGAACAGGGCAGGCATGGGGGCAGGGCAGGGGGCAGAGTCAGGTGTATTATTAGCTCTAGAATGTCGACATTCGATACTCCTCCATGCCTTCCTCTCTCTACTCCTCACGCACCAATACTCCCTCCCTCTATTCCCATCACTTGAATATCCTCCCATCTCTTCCCCAACACTCCAAAATTCTCTCCAACACTCCAATATATTTCTTTCACTTCATCCACCTCTTCCCTAACACCTCCAATACTTCCTCCATCTCCCTCAGACACTCCAACAATCCCTCCACCTCCTCTCCAGCAGACTCCAACACTCCCCTCTCCTCCAGCAGACAAGCTGTGGTGGTGGTAAGTAGCGGGTCGTAGTTCTCAGGAAGGTGGGATGAGTCATATCGCTGCTACACTGTGATTAACCCTGATTAGTAATGCTCGCGGCGCTACCTCAACCACCAACGAGAAACGAATCAGCGGAGATATCCTGGGACCTAATCACAGAGGAACCTAATCACAGAGGGCCTAATCACAGAGGACCTAATCCCACCAGTGAACTAATGGACACAATTCCTTCACTATAATCAGTACGAGATGAAATAACAACAAGATGTCCTAATACTGTATAGCGTTACGTTTATGTAAGTTAGAGTTAGGTTAAGAAACTAGGGTGGAGCTAGGTTAAGGTTAGGTAAAGACTTGGCTAGGCTCGAGTTACGTTAGGTTAAGAAGCTAGGGTAGGCTAGGTTAAGGTTAGGTTAGACTTGGCTAGGCTCGAGTTACGTTAGGTTAAGAAGCTAGGGTAGGCTAGGTTAAGGTTAGGTTAGACTTGGCTAGGCTCGAGTTACGTTAGGTTAAGAAGCTAGGTTTGGTTAGGTTAGGTTAGATCAAAATAATGTCAGATTAATTTGTTGAGATTGTATCATACAACCTAAGAAGAGTATCACAAACACATATCAGAGCCATCAAACGCATTTTTCCTCCTCCTGTCCTGCAATCAAGTTCCAATTTTACCGTTCCTGTTGACACAAGCTGGGAAGACGTCTTGGGTTTTAGGTCTTTTTTCTTCTTTATTCTCCTTTATTTCTCTCCATCCTTCTTTTTATTATCTCTCTCTCTCTCTCTCTCTCTCTCTCTCTCTCTCTCTCTCTCTCTCTCTCTCATTCTTCTCCTCTTTCCTACACCCATCCATCATTTTTCAGTCTGTCCCTCCCATAGCCTCGTTTCTCCCCACTACCTCTCGTTCGCTCCTACAAAACACAACACATTGGTATCTTTATCCAAATGTGAATAAAAATCCCTGACTGAAAAATCGACTCGTTTTCCCCTTGAGACAACTTGAACGAAATGCTGTTAAACTATTTATCTGAAAAGTTTTTGCACCGAAGAGAGATTTACGAGAATATTAAACACAGATAACATATAATAAACCCTAAGATATGAATTATACCCTCTGTTATCTGGCCTTGGAGAACAACCAGTGTGTGTGTGTGTGTGTGTGTGTGTGTGTGTGTGGTTGATAAGATTACGAACGCTATTAGAAACTAGCTTGTTGTAAAGCATGTTTTGTGACAAGAAAAATATACCAGGAGGAAATCTGTACATGGACAAATAATCTGAATCTTTTAAACGAAACATATTTCACTATAATGATGATTTGTTGATATGTTGCAGTAATGATTCCTTTAATGTTGCAATATATTGAGAATTTCAGACACAATACATATACTGATGCCTCAAGGATTTTATTTTTATTATAATGATTTTCTTATACACAAAATTATACTACAGATTGACTCTTTAAAGGGAATTATTACAAATTTCTGACTTTTTTTAAAATATTACAAGACACTGATTTTTTTTCACTCATCACATAACACGGAACATCCCAAATGTCTTAAGATAAACTGTAATATACAGTTTTTTACGATAACTGATAACACAGAAATCTTTAGGAGAAAATGTATCAATATTCTGGGATACAAAAATAAGTGTTTCTTCCAATTATTATTACAATACCTCGAGCACAAACACTTGCCCTTATGATAACATACTGCAGACGCCTAACTTGCTTATTCTGTGATGAAATAATAATTTATATGTAAACCTGATTTAATACAAGGTCACAAAGTTGATTACGTGACCTGATTTTTAGACGAAGCCACGAGTCACACACAAGTATGGGTAATTCTTTTTCCTTTTCACCGGAGTTTGTTTTATTATACTTACACATGCTCTTACGCTTCTCATTACTCTCCTAACTCAATATCAACATTCGTGTTTTCTATCTCGGATCATTTCACGTACAGTGTGTCCATTAACACACCTCATTGGTTGATATACGTCTCGCCATTCTATTTTAAAGGTATACATTATACGCGCCATTAAACTGCCATTCTTACTGTACCTCTTGATGGAACTCCATTAGTGGCGGTCCTTCCCACAGCGACAGAGTTTGCTGACCTAATAGAGGAGCTAAGATAAGTTCCTAGGCACCAGCAGGAGGTTTCAAGTTAGGATTCCTATTACATAGACTTATTCTGTGACATATGGAGATTGGGAGAAGAATCCACCTCGCTGGCTGGTTTAGGTACTTAATCTCCACACGTTGAAAAGACTCGTATCTAAATCATCCAAGGATTCTGACGCGATTATGTGAGATAAGAACATAAGAACTATGATAATGGAGGAAACTGCAGCGGGCCTATTGGCCCATACTGGGCAGTCCCATTTACACCCAACCCCTATCGCTCATATATCCATCCAACCTATGTTTGAAGCTATCCAGCGTATTCGAGTTAATGATGATATTTGGTAACTTGTTCCACTCATCCACTACTCTGCTTCAAACCAGTGTTTACCTATTTCGCATCTAAATCTAAATTTGTCTAATTTAAAACCATTGTTACGAGTTCGCTTGAGGTTAGAGGTGGGGTGGAGGAGGTGGACAGGGGATTTAAACATACGAATCCTTAATAATTCGGGTCGTTGCCAGATAAGTAAGTCGCGACAAGCTACACACTACAGCAACAGCACAGGGGAAGTGGCAGAGACAGCTGGAGCAAGTGTAGCAGCGGGAACAGAGACGATATTAATGAGCATAAAACAGCTGCGACAGGAACAAAAGGAACACAGGCTAACAGAAGAAGTAAGAACAGGAACAGCAGCACAAACGCAGGATTACCATCATCATTAGGTACAGCAGAGCAACGGCAGCAGAGGGAACAGCAACAGAAGCAACAGCAGCAGGAGGTCCCCGCCCACACTCACCTCGACCCCGGGATTTGAGAGGCGACGCGCGCAACCTCCCCTCCAGGATGCTGTGTCGACCCCTCCCCCATCCCCCCCTCCCCGCCTGCCTGCCTTAGTATTGCTTTCATACTCACACTGACATATTCACTTTAAAAGCAGACTTCGCACAAGCATAGTAACTGCTGTATGATACGACTGACAGGACCCGATGGAGACACGATAGCCAATAGCAACCATAATAGTGATACGATAGCCAATAGCAACCATGATAGCGACAATGTACCCAATAGCAACCATGATAAGTGACAAGATAGCCAATAGCAACCATGATATTCTATTACCAACATGATCGACAGCGACGTGATGGTAAGCTGACTTGGGTCTATGTAAACAAGAGCTTCGAGGACCAATCTTACGGTGACGATTTTTATTATTATTATTATTAATATTATTATTTTACCGGAAAAAAGTCACTGTAAAAGTCATAATTTTGGCTAGGCTAGGCTAGGCTAGGCTAACTAGGCTAGTTATGTTACCTTTTTTCCTGTGTTTTTTTTTATTCCTAGGTTCGTTTTTGTAATCTCGTCCAACACATACATACATACATACATACATACATACATACATACATACATACATACATATACACACACATACATACATACACACATACTGTACACACACACACACACACATACATACGTCATACATACATACACACACACACATACATACATACATACGTACATACACAATGGAACGAGAGGTCTGGCTCCTATCATCAGAGTGTAGTGACTCGTATAGCGATATGTTGCGACACCATTATCTCCGCCATATTATGTTCCCATAGTGTCGAGCCGCACCGCCCCTTGTCCTATTGGGCCCTGGTTCTACTGGGCCCCTTGTCCTATTGGGCCTGTCCTATTGGGCCCTGGTTCTACTGGGCCCCTTGTCCTATTGGATCTATGTTCTATTGGGCCCGTCACCAGCCCTAACCTGCCCTGTGAAAACTAACCTAATCTAACCTGCCTATGGCTCAACCAAACAACCTATTAAACCAAGCTAACATAACCAAACCTAAACCTAACCTAGCCTAACCTAACCAAACCTAACCTAACCAAACCTGGCCTAACATAACCAAACCTAACCCTAACCAAGCCTAACATAGCCAACCTAACCACTAGCCTAACATACCTCCTCAACCTGCAGCCCCTGACCTAACCAAACCTGACATAACAAACCTAGCTAAACATACCAAACCTAGCCCTACAGCCCAACATAACCAAACCTAACCCCAACCCTAACCTAGCCTAACCTAGCCTAACATAACAAACCAAAACCTGACCTAACAACGAAACCCTGACAACATAACCAACCTACCTCTTAAACCTAGCCTAACATAACCAACCTAACCTAACCTAGCCTAACATAACCTAACCTAACCTAGCCTAACCAAACCAAAACCTAACCTGACCACCTAACCTAACCTAACTACCTAACATAACCAAACCTAACCTAACCAAACCTGGCCTAACATAGCAAACCTAACCTAACCTGACTTAACCTCAACCCAATCAACCCCATACCAACCCTAACCAAACCAAACCTGACCAGCTTAACCTAACCTAACCAAACCCCAACCTAACAAACCTAACATAACCCTATATACAACCAAACCTAACCTAGGCCTAACATAGCCAACCAACCTACCAACCCTGACGACCAACCCCAGACCTAACATAGCCTAACCAAACAACCAATACCAAACCAAACCAACCAACCTAACCTAACCAAACCAGCTAACCTAACCAAACATAACACAACCAAAACCTAACCAACCCCTAACATAACCTAACTACTAACATAACCACTAACCTAACAAACCTAACCTGGCCTAACATACAAACCTAACCTGACCAACCTAACCTAGCCTAACATAACCAACCTAGCCCCTACAACCAAACATAACCTACCTAACCTAGCCTAGCCCAACCTAACCTCAAACCAACCAAACCTAACCTAACAAACCTTACCTAACCTAGCCTAACATAACAACCAAACATAACCCTAACCAAACCTATAACCTAGCCTAACATAACCAAACCTAACCTAACCAAACCAAACCTAACCTAACCAAACCTAACCAGTTACCGGGGTGAAGTTAATGTGGGAAGGAGACTTGTACTGTATACATCAGGTGACTTCATCTTCTTTATCTGTCTGTCTCTAAGTCTTGTTTGTGCCATTCTCTTTAATCCTCTATTTCTATCTGTCTGTCTGTCTGTCTGTCTGTATGTGTCTAAATCTGTCAGTTTGGCTTTGTCTGTGTCTGTCTGTCTGTCCCAGTTTATGTTTTGTCTGGTCACTCTTTAACTTTGTCCAATTTCTCTCACTGACTATTTATTTGTCTGTCTGTCTGTCTGTCTGTCTGTCTGTCTGTCTGTCCTGCTGTCTCTGTCTCTCTCTCTCTCTCTCTCTCTCTCTCTCTCTTTGTCTTTACTTCTCGTCTAACACTCTTTAACCCTCTTCAATTCTCTCTTTCTCTTCCTTTCTATTTCTTTGTCTGTCTGTCTGTCTATCTGTCTGTCTGTCTGCCTGTCTGTCTGTCTGTCTGTCTGTCTGGTGAGTACCTCTCTCGTTCTCTCTATTAAAAGCTTGATAGATTTCTTCCTTTCATTTTACGCGTCACTGTAAAAAATAGACCCACTCATCCGTGTCACTGCAAAACAACAACAATGTCACGTGTGTGTGTGTGTGTGTGTGTGTGTGTGTGTGTGTGTGTGTGACTAAAACGATCATCAAAACAATGAAATTTTAAGAACAAACCAATATTAACTACAGGTGGGAGGTGGATGTGGTGGTGGATGTGGTGGTGGATGTGGGGTTGGATGTGAGGTGGTGGTGGATGTGGTGGTGGTGGATGTGAGGAGGTGAGGTGGTGGTAGATGTGGGTGGATGTGATGTGGTGGTGGTGGATGTGAGGTGGGTGAGGTGGAGGTGGATGTGGAGGTGGGTGAGGTGGAGGTGAGGTGGTGGTGGATGTGAGGGGTTGCGGGGATGAAGAAGCCCCCGGAAACACTACCTCAGGTATACGTCAGGTAAATAAGTGTTGCTTCTTGTGTTCGAAAGCATTACTCAGGTGTTCACTCAATTGTTATTCATTGTTCACGCTTAAGTGATGTTCAAACCTTTATTAGTTGTTGTTTATGCTTTTTTGTTCATAAGCTTTGTTCAGCGTCCACAAATGTTGTTCAGTATTAATTTGTATTCCTTTAAAGTATAAACAACAGTCGAGTGTTGTTCAAGTGTTCACAAGAGCCACTTCAACTGTTCTTCAGTCCTGTTCAGTTGTTCACAAGCACTACCCAATCGTCGTTCACCACGCCCATTACTGTACACAAGTGAGATACTGACTACGTTTTGTTCACCAACGTGTTCATCAATGATCACAACAGGCGTAACGAGCGTCAGCACCTAAGAAGCGTATAGAGGGTACTGACTGACTGACTGACGACGGTATACGGGGCCAGTGTGTAACCTCCCCAACGATAGACGCGGTCCCACCTTCTTTCCTATTGGCTGTCCTTATCTATACCACCAAATGATAAACACCCATCCGAATCCCTGCACTAGATCCTGACTTGGGTTAACGATATATCACTAAATCCAATACATTCTCAACTAGCGCGCATCTAGCTATTAATGAAGTGGAGGAACTAGCAAAATGACGTAGTTTAATACAGAAATATAACATAATTCAGGATAAGATGGCGTAGGAAGGGTCATACAATGGGCTTCCTTTTATTCGAACATATCTGAAGCGGCTTCGTTTTTCGTGTGTATAGACTTGCAATAACAAGCATAGATGTGATTTAAGACGTGTATCTCCACTATCACAACTCCACCTTCACAACCTCACCATCACAACTCCACACTCACAACCTCACCATCACAACTCCATACAACCTCACCATCACCCACACACTCCACCAACCTCATCACAACTCCAATCACAACCTCACCATCACAACTCCACACTCACAACCTCACCATCACAACTCCACACTCACAACCTCACCATCACAACCTCCATCACAACTCCACCTTCACAACCTCACCATCACAACTCCACCTTCACAACCTCACCATCACAACCCACACTCACAACCTCACCATCACAACCCACACTCACAACCTCACCATCACAACTCCCCTCACAATCCAACACCACAACCTCACCATCACAACCCACCTCACAACCTCACCATCACAACCCACACTCACAACCTCCATCACAACCCACCTTCACAACCTCACCATCACAACTCCCACACTCCAACCTCACCATCACAACTCCACACTCACAACCTCACCATCACAACCCACACTCAAACCTCACCATCACAACTCACACTCACAACCTCACCATCACAACTCCACTCCACAACCTCCCACCACAACTCCCACACTCCCAACCTCACCATCACAACTCCACACTCACAACCTCACCATCCAACCCACACTCACAACCTCACCATCACAACTCCACACTCACAACCTCCTCACACCCACTCACAACTCCCACTCACACCTCACCATCACTCCACCTTCACAACCTCACCAACAACTCCCTCACAACCTCCATCACAACCCCACACTCCAACCTCCACCATCACAACTCCACACTCACAACCTCACCATCACAACTCCACTCACAACCTCACCATCACAACTCCACACTCAACCTCACCATCACATCCACACTCCTAACCTCACATCACAACTCCACATCACAACCTCACCATCATAACCTCACCATCACAACTCCACCTTCACCTCACCACCACAACTCCACACTCCAACCTCCATCACAACCCCACACTCACAACCTCCCAACCACCTCATCACAACTCCACCTCACTCACCATCACAACTCACCTTCACAACCTCACCATCACAGCTCCCACTCACAACCTCCATCACAACTCCACTCTCCTCACCATCACAACTCCACACTCACAACCTCACCATCACAACTCACCTTCACAACCTCACCATCACAACTCCACACTCACAACCTCACCATCCAACTCCACCTTCACAACCTCAACATCACAACTCCACCTTCACAACCTCACCATCACAACTCCACCTCACAACCTCCCAACTGAGCATTTTATCAGTTACATAGGAAGATGACGAAGCTTCCTGAACACACACGTCAGGTTAGATAATGTGTCAAAGTGACTCTTAAACATCCGTAGGGGCTACAGTGTAATGTTTGTTGTTGATGAGTATTGCTATTTTCTCTGTCAGTCAGTCAGTCAGTCAGTCAGTCAGTCAGTCAGTTAGTTAGTTAGTAAGAAGTTAATCAGTAAGTTATTTAGTCTCTCTCTCTCTCTCTCTCTCTTCTTCTTTCTCTCTCTCTTTTTTCATATATATCCCAGCGCTCGGAGAAATAAATTAATAATAGACTATCTCCGGCGATACTGACTGGCGCTAAAAATAACCATCGCCTCAGAAACACGCAGAATATTTCTCTCATATGACGACGAAAAAATGAAACCGAGGAAATTGATTCAGAATGAGTTTGTGGTCATTAGTGGCAGAGGGTTGTGGGAGGGGTTGATGGGAGAGGGTTGTGGGGAAGGGTGGGAAGGGGTTGTGGGAAGGGATATGGGAGAGGGTTGTGGGAGAGAGTTGTGGGAGAGGGTTGGGGAAGGGGATGGGGAAGGGTGTGGGGGAGAGATGTGGGGAAGGGGTTGTGGGAGATGTGGAGGGGGTGTGGGGGGGGTTTAGGATATGGGAGGGGTTGTGGGGAGGAGAGGGGTATGGGAGAGGGTTGTGGGAGAGGGTTGTGGGGAAGGGGTGTGGGGAGGATGGGAGAGGGTTGTGGGAGAGGGGTGGGAGAGGATGTGGAGGGGGTTGTGGGGGGGTTGTAGGGAGAGGATATGGGAGGGTTGTGGGAAGGAGGTTGTGGGAGAGGTGGGGAGAGGGATATGGGGAGAGGTTGTGGGAGAGAGGGTTGTGGGAGAGGGGTTGTGGGGAGAGGGTTTGTGGGAGAGGGAGAGGGTGTGGGGGGGGTTGTGGGGAGGAGAGGGTTGTGGGGAGAGGGTTGTGGGAGATGTGGAGGGGGGGTTGTGGGGAGGGGGGCTGTGGGAGAGGAATGTGGGGAGGTGTGGGGAGAGAAATGTTGGAGAGGGATATGGAAGAGGGTTGTGGGGGGATGGGGAGAGGTGTGGGAGGGGTTGTGAGAGGGATGTGGGAGGGGGTTTTGGGCAATGGGAGAGGGATATGGGAGAGGCTTGTGGCAGAGACTCGTCAGGAAGCTCGAGACAGACTCATAATAGCCTCATAACAAGATGTGTGTAGCCAAGACTGTTCCACACCTCACCACCCACACACGTTCAGACACAAGGTCCAATGGTGTATACTAACAGTGTTATAATGGGGGAGGAGAGTGGTCATGGCCATAAATAAACAGCGAATGTAAGGAGGGTGTTGGTGGTGGTGGTGGCGGTAGTTGTGGTAGATGTTGTGATGGTGGTAGGAGTGGTAACAGTAGTGGTGGTGGTGGATATGGTAGTAGTGGTATACATAGAAGTGGTGGTGGTGGATATGGTAGTAGTGGTATACATAGAAGTGGTGATGGTGTTGGTAGTGGTGATGGTGGAGGCTGTGGTAGTAATGGTAGTTGTGATACATGGTACTAGAGGTAATTAGTGATAGTGATAATGACACAATTAGCTCAATCGTCCGCTAGAGCTGAGAGCGTCACAACCTCTCAATATTACAACAAATGAGTTTCCTGACATTTCCTAAACTTGTGTAAACCAGAGAGCCTAACATGGTCAGCTTGATCTCTCTGTCTCTCATGAGGAACGAGAGAGAGAGAGAGAGAGAGAGAGAGAGAGAGAGAGAGAGAGAGACCCATCCACCCTCTATAATAAGCACCAAATGAGTGACACTACCCAAAAATATGAGAAAAAAAAAATCAGTAAATCAAAAATTCTAAACTCTCACGATCTCGGTTGGAAAATATGCAAATTGTGTTGGATATAAAGTTATGTAAATGGACGGCTTGAGATGCATGTAAACGGGGTAGTGGTAAGGGATGGAAAGGAAAGAGGGGAGACAGTGGCAGGGGCTAGAAGGGGGGTAGGAAAAAAAAGGGGAAGTGGAGAGATGTAGAAGGAAGGAGGAAGGGATACAGTATGCAAATGAGAGGAGATTACCCTGAGTTTTACCATTTAAGATGTAAATTTAAAACATAGTGTGTGTGTGTGTCTGTGTGTGGGTGTGTGTGTGTGTGTGTGTGTGTAAAAAATAGTAGTAGCGAGTAGGAATGTGTTCTTTTTTATTAATATTATGTTGGTGAAATATAGACATACGTATTCAGCGACTCTTTTAAATAATTATCAGAAGCATAAGTGAGATTGCGTTTGGTGGTTTCCTGGTTGGGGGTAAGGAGGGAGATGGGGAGGAGGGAGGGGTAGGGAGGGAGGGGTGGGGGTGGGGAGAGGAGAGGGGGTGGGGGTGGGGAGAGGAGGAGAGGAGGAGTGACAGGCAGACTATAAATATTCAGTATTCTCTCTCTCTCTTCTTTCCAAGGCATTATATTGCTCCACGGAAACTATTATATATTCAACTTACAAATTATACTGAGAACAAATTATAGCAGATTGTGGCGGCGGCTGTGGGGAGCTGTGGTGATGGTGGTAGTTTTAGTAATATTGTGGTATGGTGACTGTATAGTGGTGGTTGTGGTAGTTGTGATTGTAGGTGTGGTTGTTATTTTAGTAGCAGTATTGTGATTGTGGTAGTTATTGTAGTTGTAGTAGTGGTATTGTGATTGTAGCTGTGATTGTGGTTGTTATTTTAGTAACAGTATTGTGATTGTGGTATTGTAGTTGTAGTAGTGGTATTGTGATTGTAGCTGTGATTGTGGTTATTATTTTAGTAGCAGTATTGTGATTGGTATTGTAGTTGTAGTAGTGGTATTGTGATTGTAGCTGTGATTGTGGTTGTTATTTTATTAGCAGTATTGTGATTGTGGTATTGTAGTTGTAGTAGTGGTATTGTGATTGTAGCTGTGGTTGTAATAGTTATAGTTGTAATACAGTATAGTGACCGAGGCGTTGGTCGTAAGAATAGCTGTTAGTCTGGAAAGCTCAGTGGACAGACGGCAAATAAACCGAAAATTCTCGTGGACGCTTATTAAACCCAGAACCACATGACAGTAAACAAAACAGCAAACAAGACAACAGACAACAACAGTAGACAAGACGACATACAACAACAGCAAACAACAGACAAACAGCAAACAAAATACCCTAAACATTTGGGTGAAAATTTTTTATTAAGACTCATGTGGGTTTATTATAACAAGTATGAGGTGATAAGACTCATGTGGGTTTATTATAACAAGTATGAGGTGATAAGACTCATGTGGGTTTATTATAACAAGTATGAGGTGATAAGACTCATGTGGGTTTATTATAACAAGTAT